TTAATATTATTTTAAATTTCTATTACCTTTTTAGCAGCATCTCTCTCTTTGCAGGCTAGCTGAACTTTCTTTTCTGCTTCTGCAATTCTTTGAGTAAACTCATCTTTCAAGGAAGAAATGCTACTGCTTTCTTCTTTCACTCTGAACATTTCACTTAAAGTTAAAATAATATTTAAGAATGAAGACAGTGTTTATATATCCCAAAAGTAACAAGATGACTTCAGTTCTCAAAAGGAAGATAACATTTTCTCCAACATATACTGTGATAAAATAGCTCAGTTTTAGGTCTATTAACTTTTAAGAGAAAAATTACTTGCTAAAATTATTTTAAAACACCTCAAAGAAAACCCATTAGAAAGTGAAATGTCACCAATATTTGATGTGCAAAAATAAGAAGTAAATGTTTCAATTGTGAATCTTCCTTTGTCACATTTTCCCAATCACCTCCTTAAAGCAAACCAATACTAATTTTTTAATTACAATATCACACTTTTCCTTAAATGCATATTTAAATCTCTGATACCAAAAGATTATTTAATAATAAAGGGAAGGTTTTGTCTTAAGTGTTTGCAAAACACCTCTCTCCAATGCCAAAGGTAATATGGTAAAGATAGTTTGAGGAGAAAAGTAATCTTTAAGTAAGGTTATAGTTGAAATGCTATTCAATTTTCAATAATCATAAACAGGGTAAATTACTAAACATTTTAATTTCAAAAATATTCTTAAATAACAACAAAGTAGGGGCCAGATGCAGTGGCTCACGCTTGTAATTCTAGCACTGTGGGAGGCCAAGGCAGGAGAATCGCTTGAAGTCAGGAGTTCAAGACCAGGCTCAGCAAGAACAAAACCCAATCTCTACCAAATATAGAAAAAAATTAGTCGGGCAACTAAAAATATAAAAAATTAGCCGGGTGTGGTGGCATGCACCTGGAGTCCCAGCTACTCAGGAGGTTGAGGCGGGAGGATGGTTTGAGCCTAGGAGTTTGGGGTTGCTATGAGCCATACTGAAACCACAGCAGTCTAGCCTGGGCAATGGAGCAAGATTCTGTCTCAAAAAAACAGAACAAAACAAAAAAGTATATGGGCCTCCAAAAAATGTGTAAAATTATTCAAATTCGTAAAATACTTACTCTTTCAGGTTATCATAAGCTTCTTCTAGAAGTGCTTTTTCTTTACTAAGAGATAATAACTGAGCCTCCCTTTTCTCCAGTTTCTCATTCAGAAATTCAACCGTCTGGATAAGGAGAATACATAAAAGTCAAAATATTCAACTTTTAAAAAGGCCATTTTTACATGCAGGTGATGAGTTGTAAAGGTAACCCAATCACTATAATAAATAAAACAGCACTATTTCATAAAAACAATTTAAAAAATATTGGGAACAGTGGATACAGAACAATAAGAACTCTTACAAAGCTGGTGGGAGAATGTAAATTAGAACACCACGTAGCTGGTGGGAACGTAAGTTAATAAACCACTTTGGAAAATAATTAGGCAATATCTAGCTGGAGATCTGCATACCTCTGATGTAGAATATTCCACTTTGGGGTGTACCTTAAAGCAGAAAACTCTCATGTAAGAGTACTAGGTGAAACGTACA